ATTATTGGGGTACTGCATTATCCACCCTAGCTAAAGTATGGAAGAAAATTTTTATTATTTTTTTCTTTTTTTTTATATATTTATTTGTGTTATTCTTTACGTATATATTTTATTATGCAGGTTTATATTGTTCTATATGTATTATATATATGCACATATCGCATATTTATTTTTTTCTTAACTTAAAATAAGACAATAATTGAATTAACTATTTTAAAGCACATATATATGTATATATATGTACATATAATAACTATATTTGCTATATATATTTTAAAATGGAAATATTTTAGATTTTAATGTAATTTAAAATTATTTTTGTTTATATGTATTTTAGACAGATATGAGTTCTGTTGTTGAAGAAGTAAATGACAAACATATGGGACCTTGGGCAGAAGCTTGCAATAAAGATGGAGTGGAAAATAGTCCCTTGTCTCCATATATAGATCAAGAGCTTCTTTATAATAAACATCTATATCTGCAAACAGGAAAATTATTGAGTATTGGATTTACTTATCTTTATCCAAAACTCACAAAAGATGCTTTGAAAGAGGTTAATAATTATTTATGTAATTAAAACAATATAATTTCTTTACTATTGTTTTTATTAAATATTTTAATTATTTATTAATTATTTATAGGTTCTTGATGATTACGTAAACATGAAAATATTTCCACATTCTTTGGTTCTATAAATTTTAATATTACAGACTGCCAAGATCAAATATTGAGAAAGCTTACAATAATTTTTATGAAATAATTTTTATGAAATAATTTTTGGAGCGTTTCACCTTGTGCCTAGTAATCTATGCAAATTGCATACTTTGTATTTGCATATTGTATGTTATATACATTACTCGTATTTTACCAGCTAACAAATATTGTTAGTCATGTTTATAAAATAATGGAATATGAAGATTTCATGTAAGCCTATTGCGAATGTGATAAACTAGGATTTAATGTACTTAATTTTATTATAGTTTGAGGTATGAAATTTTTGCATTGTAGAATTGCTAGTCAAGTTTCGACATTACAAATAACTTGAAATTAAAGAATAATGAAGAATGAACGTAAAACTAGATATTTACATGCCTAAATATAATATATTATAGCACATAACATTATTTGGATAAATATTTTAGAGAATTATGTATATCGCCAAAATGCTTTTTATACTAAATTTTTAAGACTGGAAGAATAAATAAAACTGTTAAACAATTAATGAAATCTGTAGAAATGCGAATTGTGTTTTTATATCCATTGCATTCCATTTAATGTATATCTTCCAAAAGCTATTGATTCAGAATAACTTAGAAATCTTTTTATTCCAAGTAAATTGACTGCTTTTGTGGTTATATAAATTTAAAATATTATATCAAATTATATAATGTATTAAATCAAGTACAAATAATATTAATTAAGTTAGAAAATATTTCAAAAATGCCAAATAAGAAAATTAATAAAAATAAGAAAATGAAGAAAATTATATAAAAGTAAACTTAATTTTTGCATAAAATATTATAATAAAATAGCAATAATAGCCAAAATAAAATTAAGAGTAATACTCTTCTAAAATAATTGTTATTAATTTTTTAATAATAAAGTTATTCATTTATGCATTTATTCACTTATTTTTTTCTTATACCTTTGCAATTATTTACAAATGAATATTTTTCAGAAGAATATTGTTTTTTACATGTTTTAATACAATTAATAACGATACACTATCTTACTTTTATTTCAATCATTGATTATAACAAGATACTGAAAATCAACAATATCATTAAATATTTTGTGTATCGTTTTAATACTTTAAACAATAAGATTATAATTTGTAATTTATTATACATAATATATTAAAATATATAATTTTAATATTTTCTGAATAATATATATATATATATATATATACACATAATCATAATAAAAATATATACAAAGTAACTGCACCCTAAAAAATCAGTATAATTACAATAATAGAATAATCATATAGGTTTTAATAAAAAAAATGATAAAGGTTTGTGAAAAAATAAATTAAAGTTTTCTTAATATACAATAATTGCTATAATTAACGATATTAATACATATTTCATTTTTTTACCAAGTTTATCTTTTCATATATGTCTTATATAAAATAAAGTATAATGTCTTGGCTATATCTACTCATTGAATGAGACAATAAATTTTTTGAGGTAAATTGTGTAAACTAAAATCATAGTGCTGTGTAATAGGTACTGAGGTTAAGTTAAAATTAAGTAATGTAAAATATCTACCCTGTATAGGGTGGCAGTTATAGAGGTATATTTACTTGACTAGAGTCGCCGTACAATATAATTAATATTTTATCTATGTATAGCCAATACTATTAGATTGATATTTAATAAAAAATTATTGCAAATGAAATGAAATAATACTATTTTTCTTATTATTTAGTAAAGGTACAAGTTTGAATGAAGAAATTTTATGCATAAATGATAAACATAGTACATGAGTAACAATATGTTATGTACTTAAACAAAATATCGCTAGAATAATATAATAAAGAAATAAATTATAATATTTCTAAATCAACGTATACAATAATTTATAAGACAAACAAATAGTTTTTAAAAAATTTGTAATCAAAATAGCCTCAATTTCAAAATATTTTTTCAAATATAAATCGTTATATTCTAAATGTAACATTTACAATACTTGTCTTTCACTATCTGTAGTCTAAAAATAACAGTGTTTATTGCTTTGTACTTCAATACTGTAATTCATCTTTTGATAATAAAATGCTTAGATAACAGCACGGCGACTCTATTTTTTTTTATAAACTTTAAAACTTATCACATCTTTCTTTTCTCTCTTTATACAATTAGTTATAAATATTATCATACCAATTTAACACCAATATGTTTCAATTCATTTTAAATTTAGTGAATGTCTTATAAACTGGAAACTTTTTATATAAGGTACGAATTAATATAAATAAGATTTGCATAAAGAAAATTACGTTCATAGCAAATAAAACAATATCGCGCTTAACAAATACAGTACATTATGCTGCTAAAAAATAAAAATACTTTATAATACATTGATTAAGATTTGTGTACAATAAAACTAAAATATTTTTTAAAGTGACACAGATGTAACATTTACCATCGAATATTTTGTCGCCATATTAATCATTATATTTTTTTTTCTTTATTAATTTTTTTTATCTGTTATTTTTTTTTCCTTAAAAATAATACCATTTTCTTTACAATATTCATAATTTAAATTTCATTAATATTAGAAAATTGTACAAGCTTAATAATTAACATATACATACAGTGCAAAAAATATTTTAAAAATCAATGCAAAAAAGAAAACAAATTCATGAGCGATCAGTTACTAGTTGCCTATAATTATATATCAATTCTCGTTTTTTATTTAACTCTAACATATGAATACTTTCAACAAATATAAAAGTATACTACTATATGTGAATAACATAAAATGTAACAAGTTGTGTTAAATATGATAACAAATGGAAAACAAATCATTTAAATAAAAATCACAAAACAAGCATTCTATCAGTGAAATGTATCTATGTTTCATAACAACATAATTTGTCAAGAATAAATAGCTAAAATAATTTATGTTAATAAAATTGAGATTCTAGAATAATTGTGATTATAGAATATATAACAAATTCATAAATGGTGTTCAAATAAAGTTATGTTTCATGAAACTGTAATCAGATCTTGTAAAATTTTTTAACAATTTTACTGAGTTTTCATAAAAATAAATTATGAATTAAATTTAAAAAAGTTCAGATATATAATATAAAAAATCTCTATTCATAGCAACATCATTTCAACACAAAGCAGAATTGAAAATGATTTTAAATTATATGTTTAACAAATTATTTTGTACAAAAATGTAAAACTCTGCATAATAAATATATGATAAAATCTCTAGCATGTGCAGCTTGAATTAATTCTATTTTTACATGATTTCATACTGTGCTTGTAATGACTATATTATTGCATAAATTCAGTGTAATATGATCATTTAAAATAGTACTGAATGTAAAATGTAATAAATAACAATTAATGGAGGTACACAATAATAATAACATGACATATCTACGTCTCACTCTAAAAGATATAGCTTATACTATCAGGTACTGTGTTGTGGGTTTTTCTGTCATGGTAACATGCACCAGTCTGGAATATGTATTTATAGTTTTCTTTCATTTTTACTTTTTGCTTTGTATGATGTAGTTAACTTTAAATGTCTTGTACAACATAAAAGACTTATCTTTATTATGTGAACAGGAAAAAATATATAATATTATATATTTTTAATTACATTAATATTTGAATGATTTGAATTGTTTTATTTTTTAAATATTTTTTATATATATTAAAAAAATTTTATTTTTTCCTGTTCTTATAATTTTTAATAGCATATACTACAATTATTAATATTTAGTATAAAAAAGATTCTATTAAATTAATATGGACATTTCAATTACTTTTTTTAAAAATGTTTGATATCTTATTTTTTTTAATAGAATAAATATTTACCAAGATTTGTAATGCTACATATATAATTAGATTATTTGTAATAAAAGAAAAAACTTAAGACTATATTTTTCATACATAAAATCTGATTAGTATTTTTCTTAATTTCTTAAAACCTAAGAATTTTTTGTTAATTTAGATATAGTTAATAGAAAATTTAAAATTTTGGAATGATCAGTACTATATTGCTTTTTTAAAAAGCAATATATATCGTGAAATAGATTAGGCCATACCCGTATTTAGATAATAATTTTGTTTTCTAGTTTAAGGAATGTATTGTTTATGTCTTTTACTAATATTCAAAACATGATATTTTATGAACATATTTATAATTAATAGATATCCCATGTGTTAATATATCAAGAATTTTGATATTATTCCATTTGCTTGATTTCCAATTTTACATTTTTTTTTTTTTTTTTTTTTTTTTTTTTTTTTTTTTAATAAATATCATCTCAATAGATATATGAGCAAGTTATATAATGAATATTATTAAGTATCATTAGCATATCTGTGCCATGGTATTATTTTATACAAAATCAAATCTAAAAATTATTAGATTTTTTCTTTTCAAACTGTTAATATAGAAATACTGTGTTGTCAATATTACTAACTTGCTTTGAAACATTATATACAAGATAATAGTTAAAAGATTCAATGCACTTTTAAACTATTATTATTTACAATAATCTGGATGCATTAGTATTTTTATTTACAAGTTATGCTATATTAAACTTGTAAAATATAGTAACTTGCATTGCTTCATTAAGAATTTTGTTCTTGTAATTCATACATACATTTGTATGTACATTTTTTCATTTGTATATATTCATATTTTTTAATCAAATAATTCAAGTTGCATGAAAATTTTTACATCCTACCTGTAGCACGGGAGCATAGGTGGAAAACATGAACACGCAATTATATTGCCTAATGTTTTTTTTCATCCATTTGGTCCAAGCATCGGAACAGATATACACATAGATTTTGATAAAGATGTATCTCCATCTGGACAACCAGAATTATTATTTAAGCTGCTATTACTACTTTTTAAAGTACAATTGACCATTGTGAGTTGCGTGCCATCTAAATCTTGTTCTTGATCCTGCTTTTGTTCACCCAAGACAACATTGTCCATTATTTTGTACTATATTTTAAAAAATATATTAGTTTTATATATTATAATAATTTTGTATTATTTAAAATACCTCACTAAAATACCTGAGAATTTTTTGTTGTATGAATATCTTTTGGTTCACCATTTATTTCCCATGATGGTAATAAAGGTTCTTTTACGCAAGACTCAAGAATACCATTAGATTTTCCACCCTATAATAATGTATGTTTTTTTTACATTTTTTATTTAAATTTAATACTATATTATATGTATTACAAATACAATTTTACATACTTTAGTATCTAAATGAGGATTAGTAATTGGAGATGTGGGACAAAGAACAGCAAGTTCAATTTCATTAGGTACCACTCTACTATTTATCTGTTGACTTACTGATGTAGACATTTGATCTGTACAACATCTATTTCGTACTGAAGTACGATTTTTTGTAGATTGTGCTGTTTCTCTTAAAATACGAGCATTTTCACATTTTTTTCGACAATATATACTGCATAGACAGATTTTAATAAATCCAATACTTATGCTTACACCAAGAATTACACCTAAAAATAAATAAATATGAAATAATGGATAAGAATGAAATATTAGTAAAGAAAAATTCTACTCTTTTTTTATTTTGTTACTTTTAATTTTTTGAAACTTCTAATTGATAGATGATGACAAATTTTAAAACAAAATTCAGTTTTAGAGATTAATGTTCTATTCAATAGAAATTAATCCAGTGAATTGATTATTTTCTACATTAATTATTTTTACAATATTAATTTTTGTAACTTTTGTAATTAACAGTATGATGAAAAAATTAAAGAATAATAAAGAAGAATAAACATCTCTCACATCCCTCATATTCTTCCGATTTAGCAGATTGTTACTTTTCCGATGTTTAAAAATGTTTTTTGTCTAAATAAATAAATTTACTCACCAAGACTTTGATCAGATCTTATATTTTGTGATGGTTTTTGTGGATTTGGTGGATTTGATGAACCACCAGTAAGAATTATTATAGGATCTGATAATTTACCATAACCAGCTTTTGTCATAGCCTGTACCATAACAAAATATCGTTTCCCCGGAATTAATCCAGGTAAAGTTGTCGAAGTTTTATTACCAGGTACTGTCACATTTCTCCATGATTTAACTGAATCCATTAAGTCCATGGTATATATAATGAAATAATTTTGTATAATACCATTTATATTACTTGGTTCCTTCCATGCAATTCGTATTTTTGTATTATTTATTAAAAACCATTGTACTCCTTCTACTTTGCCAGGGACTGAAATGAATTTTTTTAAAAATTATTATATGAATTAAAAATTACTATAATGTTACTTATTTAATGATTTTATAAATAAATATGATATTTATTTCACTTACTATCTTCATTTGTATAGCATTCTACAGACTCACTATAAAAATTGCTTTGGTTTGTATTATTTTGAATGGCCCTTACTTTAAATTGATATAATGTAAATGGTTTTAGTTTATCCACATTTGCTTTTGTATCGTTCCTATAAAAAATATATTAAAAATAATTTAATTTTAAAAGATTAATTTAAATTATAATGAAAAAATCAACTTATTACATACAATATAGAACACTTAGGATTATCTGAATTTGCTGCATGAATTGCATGATAACATAATTCGAAAGAATTTATTTCATGCACACCATTTAGAGACCATGTCACATTTATAGAAGTAGATGAAACAGGAATTGCTTCCAAGGCCATTGGTACATTATCTAATCAATAAATAAAAATAATATATAAAATTAATATTTATCATAATGATAAGCAAAATTATTAATATAATATTCTTACTTGTACTAGTTTCTATTTGTTTTGTTAAACAGCCTGTTGCTTTACCAGAACTTATCATACATAAACCCATTGTAAAAGAAACATTTACATCTAAACAAAAAGATTCATAGAAAATTTTTAAAAATTTCACAATACAATATATAATTTTTACAATAAATATATAATTTTTTAAAAATAAAAGATATATCATGTTTAGTACTTACTAAGATTAGTAAATACATATTCGGTAACATTTTGCGGTAAAAAAATATTTTCTAATTTATGTCCACTTTGATTTTCACAATAAATTTGCCAAAGATCAAATTTCGATTCAATTTTATCATTTTCATTAACATTTATTTTCCATTTCACCTGATATGATAAAAATTATTTTAACATTAGTAATATAATAATTTAAATATTTTTTTAAAATAAAATATAATAAAAAAAATTTGTATATTAACCTTCACAATTGAAGTATTTACTATTAATACTTGTACATCCACAATATTTTTGATAATAAATTGATTAGATTCAGCAGGTGGCATAGTAACAGTAGTCCACTTTAATTGTGATTCAGTCACATTAGGCCAACCTTGTTTTGTTCTGGCTAATACTCTTAAATCATACTGTGCTCCAGGTTTTAAATCTTTAAAAATATGAATAATTAATTTCAAAATAAAACAGAAAAGAAAAATTTAATGATTATATAAAAGAGAATAATTTATATATATTTATGCATACCAGAAAGTATATAGGATTTATTGTTAGCGGATAAATAAAAAACCCGAGATGATGGATGTTCATGCAATCTAAACTGTAATTTATATTCTACCACAATACCACGAGACTCCTTTTTAGTTAATGGCTCCCATGATATATTTAACTTTGTACTACTAAGTATATTCACATTTACTTTTGGTGCACCTTTAGGAACTGAATGGAAAATAAAACTTATATTTTTTAATTCTTTTTTGTAATTATTTACTATAATATTAAAAAATAATGTACCACTTGGGGCTGTAGAACACAAAATGGTGGCTGATTGATCACTAGGACCATAATTGTTCCACACTCTTATATAGAAGGAATAATTAGTATATGGTTCAAGAAGTTTTGTCACTTCTACTGATGTAGAATTACCCGGTTCAGGCGGAGAAACTTCTTCTTTACCTCCTTCTTTATGATAATATATAAAATGTTAAAAAATGTTATAGTATTTTTAATTATTCATTATATGTATAATATTTTTACTTCGGTTAAGAAACTTACCTACGGGACTATAATGGACGGTATAAGCTTTAATACTGCTATGTGATAGAGACTTTGGTGGTACCCAGGAAATAAAAATTTTAACTGGTGATAGAGCACGACATTTTAAAGAGGTAGGTGCAGCAGGGCTATTACGAGATGTATTTACTTGAAGCCGACCTGCGGCCCAAATTTCTCCTGCTGAATTTACAGCAACACATTGATAAATACCAGCATCAGATGGAACTGTTGCCGATATTGCTAATTCCATTTTATTAGATTCTTTTATATATATAGTTCTACGTCCTATAAAAATATTTACTATATATTTTATATTTTATGTATAAATATAAATAAATATTATAACAAATAATTAATTATATACCATTGATTGTGATATTTAATGAATCTTTTAACCAATATATTTTAGGCACAGGTACACCTTGTGCTTGACATTCAAATCTTGCAGTTCTTCCATTTGGACATATTTGATTTGTAGGTATTTTTACAAATGATGGTGGTATTAATATATTCACTGTTACATTCTGAAATATTTTGTATATGTGTGTGTGCATAAAGATATATATATTATATTATATATTTTTTATATTTTGTAATGTATTTTTAAAATGATTATATGTAATAATAATCTTGAATATTACTTACTTGAATCTCCACATTATTTGTAATAAAATTTTTTACAGAACATATATAAACTCCTGCATCAGATACACTCACATTTACTAGTGATAATATACTAATACCAATACTAGAATTAAGCAAAATGCGAGGTTGTGCAATATTATGATTGGCTAAAATTTAAAAAAAAAATTTTAATCTATATAATATATAAATAAATCTTTATTTATTGTATTTGTATTATAAATATCATTATAAGACTACTAATATTATTAATATATATATTTAAAATACCAATATAGCGAGGAATAAATGACCACATTATAATTGGTGGTGGGTATCCAGATGCAGCACATGCTAAACTAAGATTTGATCCATTTAATAACCAATGATTGTATGAAATTTGTGGGAATAACAATGGTGGTATATACGACCCATTACCCTCAGGTTGTGAAATAACAGTTAATTTTGCTTCTTTACTTTTTTTAGTTTTTTTTAGGAATTCATTATTTACTATGCATCTAAAAATATAAATAATTCATCATTTTTTTTTTATAATTTTATTGTATGAAATGCTTTATGATTTATATAAATAAGTGTATTTTATTATTATTACTTATTAATATAATATATGTACATACCTATATATACCAGCATCTGATAACTTCGTTGCTTTTATGTACAGAACACCTGGTGGTACCATTATATACTTATTACTAAAATATAAAAATTTTAATTATAATAAAATATTGAATTATTAATTTCTGTCAAAGAATTACTTACTTTAAATTACTCTGATTGGGCAATAATATTTTTTCATTATGCTGCCATGTGATATTAGGAAAAGGAACACTATCTATTAAACAAGATAATCTTGTAATTTCACCTTCTTGTACAGTTATATTTTCTGGAGACTCTTTAAATATGTAAGCAAATTCTAAACAAAATATATAATTATATATTGTAATATTAGTTATAAATTTTTAAAGTTTAATAGCAATATATTAAATAGGAAACTTACCTGCGATTTGAATAAATGTAGGTGATGATCTTAAAAGTCCAAAATTAGTATGTGCTACACAACGGTACTCATCTTTATAATAATCTCTAAAATTAATTGTAGTAATGTTTTTTTCTTTAAATTTCTGCACCATCTATCACAATAATAAAATAGGTAATAATTGATTTAATTTTAAAATAATATTAAATAATATAATAATAATATAATAATATCTTTCAATGTTTTTATACCTTATGTAAATGAAGAGAACCATTTTTGAGAAGAGTACAACGTGTAATACCACATGGTGGTGCTGATATTCCATTGTGTAACCAAGAAATATTTTGATTTAATCCAGTTATACAAGTGAGTGTAATTCCTTTTTTCCCTAATATCACATGACCACTAGGTTGAACTTCCAATGTTATACCAGAACCTTTGGTTGGATTAATATTGAAGCCTTCTGATTTTGACACGTTTTTATTATGCAAACCAATTCCAATTTCTTTAACACCTAAATATAAAATATATTTAAAATTATATGTTAAAAATATGTTAAAATATGTTTTAAATTCTTATAACTTTTTAAATAATATAATTAAGAAATATATTCAAAAATTATATTCATATCATAATTATAATCATTATGTATAATCAAACTGTATTTCTACAAAATTATATTAATTTACATGTTAAGATAAAATAAATTTTTTGTCATAATTAAATTACCATTTTACTAATTAAATATTTAATCATTTTAAAAATTATGTACATCAAAAATTATTTTCATGCATATTATAATAATATAAACATACTACAAAATACTTAGAAAATACATAATTGTTTTTTTAACATTAAGTATTTAAACATTCAAATATTCTTATTTTAACAAATAATATATGCTTCATAAAAAAAGAAATATCGAAATTCTAATCATTGATAAGAATACAAAAGAAAAGACGTTAACGCATGGTTTAGTATATATCAGTTTAAAGAATATAAACAGATTAGATAGGAAGAAAAGAGGGAGATGCACCTGCGGCATAAGCGGGCTTTAGCACTTCTGTAAACAAGATGCTCAGTAAAAATACTCGCGCCGCCATATATTCACACTCATTGGCACTAGTTTCACTGACAAATCTTAGCCGAAATATACCGTCGATTTGGTAGACTTCCTTGTAATATTCGTCGCCGCATGTTTGACATCGCCTGCAAGAGTTTTTGGCTGTTCCGTTTGCCGAACTCTTACCCTTCTTTAAGTTTTATTCTGGTTTTTCACATTATCATTAAGCGAAATAATATATCGTCACCGAAATCTCGAGGACGTCGACAATACCGAGAGTTACACGGTCGTCGCGAATAATGCTTGATTAACTTCGTTTGCATTAGCACGCGATTTATTCGTTTCTTGCCATCTTCTAACTCTACTAACCTTGTTTATATAATTTTTGAAGTAAGGAAAGAAGATCCAAAATTCTTGACTATATGCTGCAGTGCTGCATGCGGCAAATTTTTGAAACAAAATGATATTTTCTTATATAGCGCTATGTGTATTTTCTCTATATTTTTGACCAATAATATTATTAAAAAGTTATGACAACTTTATATAATTACTTATATAATTTTAAATAAAATTGAAATTTAATTAAAATAATATAATAAAAATTTTATATACAAGAAGCGATACTATATCAGTAATAAGTATTTTAGCATATAAACATTTCCTTATAAGAAGGATATACCTAACCTCTAAAATTTAAATTAAATATGGCGCGTCAAAGTGGTATTTTAGATTGCGAGAAAATGCATAATTTATCAGACAATAAAAATATTGACTTAGATAATTGTAGAAAATTAATAAAATCGTACATTGATTTGGTAAAGTTTCAATATTCATTAAGCTTTGTAAGCTTTGTTTAATTATTTTAAACTATTAGAGAAAACTGATTACTATTTTATTTGCAGCATCTATATAGTGCCGCTTTATTTTGGGCAGATAAAGTTGTTTCATTAAGTAATGAAGATCCTAAAGATGTATGTACATTAGCACATTGTATGTATCTAATGAAACAGTATCATAGAGCTGCTCATCTTATCAGACGTCGTGGGTTAGAAAAGGTAAAATTTAATTATAAAATATTTTAATAATATTACAATATTGTAGTTTATTGACTTAGAATACTTATTTTATAAATGTTATTTTATAGACAGATGTAATGTGTCACTATTTAACAGTAAGAAGTCTTTTAGAAGCAAAAGAATATAATGAAGCTTTACAAGTTATTAATGAATCAGAAATATGTACAAATATAACACAATCAGCTTTTGGAGATCGAGCAGATATATTAGAAGATGCACCTAAAAATGTATAATTAGTATACAATATTATTTATTTTATACATTATTTTTAATCACAAATTAAATTATTTAAATTTAATTTAAATTTAATTTATAAAGTAATTATGTTGTAAATACAAAATAATAGAATAATAAATATATAAAGTAATTTGTATATTATAGGTACAAAGTTCAATATTATATGTGAAAGGAAGAGTACATGAAGCTATGGATAACAGAGCAATAGCAACTGATTGTTATAAACAAGCTCTACATTGTGATGTATATTCATATCAAGCATTTGAAGCATTAGTTCAAAATCAAATGCTCTCAGCTGCTGAAGGTATAAAAATGCAACACAGTTCATAAACATCATATAAAATAAACACAAGTAATCTTATGATATAATTTTAATAGAGAAAGAACTTTTGGAATCCCTACCTTTTGGTGAACAATGCACAGAAGCTGAAGCAGAGTTCTTACGACTATTATATGAAAGTAAATTGAAGAAATATCAAGAACCATACAAAAAACAAGTGCTAGCAACTTGTAGTGTTATGGGAGTTCTTGTCACAGACAGGTTATTAGGTAATTTGGATATGGAAGTTACAGAAGCAGAAAGACTATATTATAATTGTGATTATCAAAAGTGTTTTTCACTTACAGAAAGGTAATTTTTCAATAAAAAAATTTATATATAATTAAATATATATTTCATATATAATATATTTTATATATTTTTTAATTTACATATTTTTTTTATATTATCTCTTTTTAATTTTAGGATATTAAAAAAGGACCCATATCATAATTCGTGTTTACCAGTGCATATTGCTTGCTTAGTAGAATTAAAAAAGACTAATGGTAAATTATAAAAATCAGAATAATTATTAATAATAAATATAATTATTAATAAATTAGAGTTTTGTATATTATAGAATTATTTTTCAGCTTTATTTTATTTAGCACATAAATTAGTTGACTTATATCCAGATATGGCCTTAGCATGGTTTGCAGTTGGATGTTATTATTATAGTATAGGTAATTACAATTCTATTATATAACCAAAATTTTAAAAAAATTTTTTTATGAAACATTATATTGTTTTAATAATAGGAAAAAGTGATCCAGCACGAAGATATTTAGCAAAAGCTACAGCATTAGACAGACTATTTGGTCCTGCTTGGTTAGCTTATGGTCATTCTTTTGCAGTAGAAAATGAACATGATCAAGCAATGGCTGCTTATTTCAAAGCTTCTCAATTAATGAAAGGATGTCATTTGCCTCTTTTATATATTGGACTTGAATGTGGTTTAACAAATAATCTTAAATTGGCTGATAAATTTTTCCAACAAGCTCAGAGTATAGCCCCAAATGATCCATTTGTTATACATGAGATGGGAGTTATATCTTTTTATAATTTAGAGTAAGTATTTTGATATATAAGCATTCTAATATTATCCCTGAGATTGAGTTATTGTAATGTGCAAAAGAGAGGTTCAAAATTCACTCTGCAACCTGATTAGTGTACTTCCACCCTTCCACGGTTTTTGGAAATCTGTCTAATTTATCAAGAGTTGTCATTTCATCGAATACAGTTACAAAACTGCTGAACGGCAATTTAAGGAAGCCATGAAAAGAATTCAAGGTGGACTAAAGGATGTTATTCTACCTAGTAAATGGGAGGCACTCCTAAATAACTTAGGTCATACTTGTAGAAAAATGAAGAAATATGGAGAAGCTTTAGAATATCATCAACAGGTTAAAAAATAAATATTGAAATAAAGATTTTTTTATTAAAATTATTATTTTAAATTATGATTGATTATAATTTCTGTATAATTGTAGGCATTAATGTTAAATCCATTAAATGCATCTACTTATTCAGCAGTGGGTTTTATTCATGCATTAATAGGAAATACACAAGAAGCTGTTGATGCTTTTCATCGAGCTCTTGGACTTAGAAGAGATGATACTTTTACAACAACTATGTTAACTTATGTTATGGAACAACTTATAGAAGAATCACCTCCATATCGTGGTATATATATAATTAATTTTTATTATATTTTATCAAACATATTTTCAATAATTTTCAATATTTTTTAGATGCACCAATTGATATTCCAAAATATAAATATCCTGCAAATAAACATCAAGAAACAGATAATGCAGAACCTTTAGAAAATACAAATAATATAGCTGAATCAGCAAATCAAGATATTGATAAATTAAGAGTAAATTTATTTTCTGGATGGGGAGAAGATTCTAACAAAGCTGATGACAATACTGTTGATAAAGTGGAACGCAATTCCCGAGATGTGATTGTGAATTATTCCAGTGATATTAGTTCTGAAGTTGAAATGTTAGATTCATCAACTGCTCATATAGAATAAAATATGCAAATTTTTTTATATGATAAATAGATTTGTCTATTCAATAAAACAATTGTTTTGCCTTAAAGATTTCTTTTTTGTTCAAAGAATCTTTTTTTATTTTTCTATTTTCTACTTATATACAATATATAAAAATTTAATAGATATATATTTAAATATAATGAATATTTATATCCATAATTTATTGTAATAATTTATAAACAAATTATATTAAAAATAATAATGATCCAAAAAAAATTTGATTTATAAAAAATATTTGTTCAAATAAAATTTATTTCAAATTTTATTTATTTAATCTATTTTTTATCAATATATAAATTTAATTTAAAAATATGTATACCAATTTAAAAAATTAATGATTCAATTTTGTATTTTATCGCATATATGAAATTCCACAAGGGCGCGTTCGCGAACTGCGCCGGTGGTTTCCAAAGATGGAACCTGCTAGTGAAAAGGGGAAAGGGAGGAACAGATCTTCAATTCAGTTCGCAGAGTGGAGCAATGTGGAGAAGAATGGGCGTTCCGTCTCCATCGTTTCTGTATCGACATTAAATTGAACATAAGGAGAAATAAATTTTATTTTCAAAAAATTAATAAATTAATTAAAAATAGGCGATTCTAAGAGTTAAAATAATTAAAATATTATCCCCCGGCGAATAATTAAAAACCCGGCGGGATCAAATATTTAAATTTTTTAATGTAAGATAATTGTTAATTAACTAATTTATTAAATTCGCATATTTAACTTTTTTCGTATTTATTATAAATTGAAAAAATTGCTTGAACATATATATATATGTATATGTGTATACATATATATATATATATATATTAATTAAGCTTATAATTGATTAAATCACATTACGAGTCATCACGTTGAATTGGTGGAGAACAGCAATCGGAACAATTGAAAAATTCGTCAAGGCTTAATCAAAGATCGACATGCTTACATTAATGCAATTGGTAAGTCGTTATCCCTCCATAAAAATTCTGTATTCTTCTTTCCTATTGTTTAATATTTTTTTCTCAATGTTTCGATATAAATATTATACTTTATTTTTCTATAAACCTTATTTTTGACTTTTCATTGGTCGATTGGTAACCTACTTTACAATTTCGCTAGTGCTATGATGTCGCTTCAAATAGAAAATTTACTATGTAAATCATGCCGGTATACAGCAATAATTATAACGTAGAAACTACAATGTAAAATCGAAATCGAAAGAATGTCCTGCGTCCTCACTTGTAAACAAACATACGAATCGTACGTTGAGCCGCAACGCGTCTGAGCCGTCCACGTGCAAAACACGTTGCGTTTCATAAGCTGATAGCCATGCCTTTTATCTATATTGCGCTGCCTTTAGCCCTTCATTAATCAATTTAAAAATATTAAATGAAGACAAAAAAGAATTTTTTATAATTTGTTACAAAAATTGTCTGATATCCTTATTTGATATCATTTCTAAATTTTATAGAAATGTATACGATACTATTTGCAAACATAATATACAGATTATTATTATGATTATAAAACAAAATGTACATCTGAGAATAGTCGTATTAATGAATTAAAAATGTAATAAATTAAATAAGCCATGATTTTTGTACAATAGTATAAATAAATAATGGCATTTATTATTACACTCCATAAATTTTTTTTTATTTTTATGTTAAAATTCTATTTTTTCTAATATTTCTATTTCATTTTTTGATTCATGATATAATTTCAAGATTGAAATTTCATAAAGACTAG